TTCGAATGTCACCCAGGTGGGGAATTTTTTTAATTGATCCGATCTCCCAGTTAGACCCAGACTAAAATGGGTGACAAAAAACGTTTTGGGAAGTAAAAGCGATCGACGTGGTGCATTTATATACACTAGAACAACGGTTTCTCTGCGCTATTACTCGTGGGACGAAATTGCCCCTTTCAACGCCTTCAGGATTATAGGGCTAAACCAAATTTTATAGACCAACCCGCATTCGGTGAGTGACGTGGTCAACATCCTGCCGGCCGTCTTTGCTTCCTATGATTTTCCCAGCACTTGTTTGAGGCTGGGTCAACCTGTGAGCCAATGAATTTGACCCGAACCCGGGACATTGCGATCTACAGGCGAGCTCCTAGCCTCTACACCACAGCGATATCCAGCTTGTAGAAAAGGGGACTTTATTTATTATGTGATACTTTCATCAGTAACACCATGATTCAGATCCTGTTCTGTCCCCAGATTTCACACAGGACTTCCAGTCTACTTCTCCATTACATAATATCCACTGAAATCCTTTCGGTATCATGGATTGGATATTGGATTCCAGTCCATCACCTTTGACTTGGGTTATTAACGTTAGTTGTAGGTCTTCTCCGGGGTATCCTAACCTAATTTCCAATATCCCTTTTGGGGATGGGGGGGGGGGGGGGGGGGGGGGGGGGGGGGGGGGGGGGGGGGGGAGGGGTTTAACTAAAACTCATTGTGCAAGAACTTTCTAGACATTAGGAAGCTGCAGTGTCGAGAAAGGGAAATGGTAATCCCACTTCACATGTCGTTGCCTAAAATTTGTGAACTTCGCTCCCTTCTCTCTCCCCCCCCCCCCCCCCCCCCCCCCCCCCCCCCACTCCCGACGACAGTATCTTTATCCAGTTTACAAATCACATTTTCAAAGATATTTCCATTTTTTAATTGTGTTCAGTTTTTTTTTTCTTAGCGTTCACTTGCTGTAAACTTTGGCGGAATGTTATGGTTGTTCGTCCTCTTATGGACATTGTCTTGTTTCGAACTTGAGTTTTCTCTTGCATATCCGTTTTACAAATCTGGCTTATTGTTCGCAGACTTAGTTTTTCACCTCAGGCAAATTCACCCCAACTTCGAAGGAAACACATCTAATAAGATGCCTCCTGCGACATGCTTTAATGGTCTGTGGATCTGTTTTTTTTTTAAACCTAAAATGGGACTCCCAAATCTACATGCGGGGGATTTTGACATGTAACGAAGCCTCGTTTCCAGCATGGGGTTCATTACCTCTGACTCTTTTGTCTCAATGTCTTTAGAACGCATCACATTAATTATGTCTGCATTGTCTATACTTGTTACTTCAATAAACACTGCAATCACGATTTTCTGTTGCCGCTTTCCTTTCACATCGGCGTGCCCTGGTGTGTACCGCCAATAGTCTTAGCATTGCACTGGTGAAATGATACTCTTGCAGAGTCGGAGTTTTGTTCCTCTGCAGTAACTGTTGAATTTCCACATTTGCCTCATCCTTTCAAAACCAGCTCTAGCTTTGTTTAGGCGTGACTTTATGTCTTCCTCTGTCTCCCCCCCCCCCCTCCCCCACAAGTAGGGACACCACACTGCCAAGATATGCGAACTGTTCTACATTTTCAAGTATTTGATTATTTATGGTCACTGGTTGTTAGTTTGGACTGTTTGTCATAATCTTAGTTTTCCTTGTATTTATTCTCAGTCCCACCGTTTCTGCTGTGCTGTGTAGTCTGTTACTTTTCTCTTGAATATGTTCATCTTTATGTGATAGGACCGCTGTATCTGCAAAATCAAGGCCCTCAAGCACGGTGAATGGAATCCATCGTATGCCTCTCGAGGTCTTGTCTACCGTGTTCTTCAGTATCCAATCAATCACAAGGTTGAAGAGAAGGGATGAAATAACACATCCCTGTCTTTACTGAGAAAGAAGTAATTTATTTATATGGCAGGAAAAGTCTTTATAGAAGAGAGCAATCATCTTGGCTATCTTTTCTGGGGATTCCATAATGTCGTAATATTTTACAGAGACTGTCTTTATGGATGCTGTCAAAAACTTTCTCAAGTCCCCAAAATTGATATATTTATATACATCTTTGCCATTCATTGCATTGTTCTAAAAAGTTGTGTAGGGTGAAGATGTGATCAGCTGTTCCTCTGCCCTTTTTCAAATCCTGTTTGTTCTACTCGGTGGCATTCATTTACTCCCTTTTCGAGCCACATTATAATGATTACAGTTGTGTGTGTGTACTTGGTACTAAGAGTAGAGTAATTCTCCTCCAATTGTTGCAGTCTGTTAAATCTCATTTTTGGGGGGATTTGGACTGTTGTTCCTTCAGTCCAGTCATCAGGCAACACTTATTTCTCCCAAAGATCGGTGAACAATAGTTCTAGAAGGCTGGCAGTTGTATTGGGATCAACTTTGAGAAGTTCGTCTTTGCTTGGTGCTTTTTTTAAAATATGGATAACTTTAAGGAATTGTTGTTTGCTTGGTGGTTTAATAATAATGTCAGGGTCCTGAGAGGCTGGTTGAATATCTGGAGGATGTTCAGGATCAGGTCTAATCAAGAGGTTAGAGAAGTGTTTAGTCCACTGCATGTTTTGTTTGTGTTATGTGGTGAGCAATGTGCCTTGGTTATCTATGATGGGCATGATGTGATAATTGTTTCTGCATCCGCAAATTTGTTGGGTAATTGTGTGTAAGGTTTGTAGATCATGTGCTTTAGCAGCTAAATGTTGTTAAGAATGTCAAGACTGTTAAGCGCACGACATCACTGAGCAGACACGCACAACGACGTCATAATGACAGTAGGCAGACGGCCGCCCTACTTTTGACATGCACCACAGAAGAGCAGCGTTCTGTTGTCTTTTTTTTTTTTTTAAAGATTTAGATTGCAGAAGCAGCTTTTATCAAGATTACTGTCCTCCTACCAGAAGATGTCAGTAGTAGCAACAGCATCAGCAGCAGCAGCGGCAGCAGTAGCAGCAGTAGTAGTACTCGCAGAAGAAGAAGAAGAAGAAGAAGAAGAAGAAGAAGAAGAAGAAGAAGAAGAAGAAGAAGAAGAAGAAGATGAAGAAGAAGAAGAAAGAAGAAGAAGAAGAAGAAGAAGAGGAAGAAGAAGAAGAAGAAGAAGAAGAAGAAGAAGAAGAGGAAGAAGAAGAGGAGGAGGAAGTGGTGGTAGGGAAAAAAACAATTCACTGATTTCTTGATATTCCTTGTCTTTCTCGACTGAGTCTGCCAAATTATGTGCTTGCAGACAATGCACCACTGATATTGTGCTAGAATTTATCAACAACCTTAAACTGATTTCGTGTTACACCCTGTGTTTTCTCGTGGACTGGGGTGTCATCTGTGTTCACACAGGGTTAACATTATTTGAAATGGGCCTTGAATGCACACTATCAACCCCAACATGTTCTTGCTACAGTAAACGGATATACTTTAAATTCAATAGTGTCAGCATATCTAGGCTGACATGTGTCCCCTATAATCGCGGCAGCTAGCGTTGGGCTGGGACAGAAACTGCTCAGAATTCGTCCCCAAGATCTGATTCGACGACACCTGCGCGGGGTTTATATTTGCTAGCTGCTGATCTCCATTACAATATAATCTAATTAATCTCAGTGAAGGATATTGCTTTTGATCAGACATCAAGAGTCGGGTGCAATGTAAATTAATCTTTACATTGTACACGCTAACTTGAACACAGCAAGTAATTCTGCTCTCTGTATTTGCAGTTCTTGGCTTGATGTTTTGATTATCACAAGCATAAATTAAAGAAAGGTGTGCAGATAAAATGTAATGCTCGCCAGTAAAGAACTAAATTTATGCGCACTAGGGGGTTTCGAACTCGCCACCTCGGAATGACGACAACGATTCGCTGAGTGCACTTTTACACACGGATAAACTTTTACGCTTCAAACAGGTATTGCAATTTCTTTGTACTTATTTAGTGTACAATAAGCTGCTTCAAGCGGTATGATAGACCCATATTACAATAGGCCAGTCAGGACGATGGATGATGTAAAAATCACACCGACTGCCTTCATTTTCCAGGGAACTTCCTAGTACACACTTTAGGCTTGGTAGAATTGGAGGCCATATGTCACATTTTTCAAAAATCCATCTCGATAGGGATTCGAACCAGACTTTGATGATGGCAGACAAGCGTCTAGTCACAGGGCTGCCACGACCTCCGCTTTTCTGTTCACTCCATAAAATTAGTTTGCATTTTATCTGTGATTGGACTAGTGATTTTACAAATTCCCAGTTGATCGGCGTTATGTTGTCTTCTCTGTTCAGGACATTCTAACCATTCTTCTTTGCAGATCAGACATCTGATTCCCTATGTGGGTTCTGGGGCCCTATTGTGGGGAAAACAATAGACCAACTGCCTACCCAAAAGCATGTCGTAAGAGTAGATTAATTGGGAGCTTTCTTCGAAGTCGGAGTACATCTGCCTGGGAGGCAAGTAACCAATAGTCTGCATCCAAATGAGTCATACCCGTGAAACGGATGTACACTCAACACTCAGGTTCCAGAACAGGACTAGAATCCAGAAGTGGACGAACAATCAGAACTTTCGGTCGGAGTTTACAGTTTGTGAATGCGAAGAAGAAGGAGATGCATCTGATGTGCGGAATTTGCTTGCAAATTTTGTTGTTGGCGCCCGTGTGTTCAGAGTTAACAAGTCAAGTGTTTTGTTTCCTTCACTTTTAAGTGGACACTAACATCGCATTTTTTAAATTGTTAGGGGTCTCCTTCTGTTTAAGTAGTCAAGTATTTTTTTCCTGATTGATATAACCACTTACATGTACAAAACTTTGCCTTATACAAACTTCCTTGAAACCTACACGCGACCAGGATTATCTTCTTGTCGTTAACTAAGTGGCGACTTTTTTTGTTTGTTATAAGTTGATCTTCAGTGATTGCTGCACTTGTATTATAAAATGTATATCTACATAACACAAAGTGGATTGCGTTAGATTTTAAATTAATGAAGAGAATGAATTCAGGATTATCGTGTGATGTGGTTAAGCCATGGCAGGCGTTATTCGGGAAACTTCCAAAACGACTGCAGTTTTGGAAAAGTCACTCTTATGAAGGTAAGTTTTGTATATTCAAATCATTCTTAAATGCATGATAAGACTGATGGGGAACAAGATCCCACAGCAGCACGTAAACAGTATGGAAGAACGAATAGATCATGACAGTCTGGATCTTCGTATGGGTTCCAGGACTCACATTTCTGGGGACAAAATTTGACACACTACACAAGCATGTCTGAACAGCTGACGGATAGGGGTGTTTTCCTTAATTTGTCTAGGTGTGATTACATACGAACACTGGAAACATCGTGGATAGTCGAAATGTTTTAAAGCAGGCTAAGATACAAAGACAGTTCATCATAGGCATCAGAATGAGGCAGCGTGCGTGTTTGGCCACATTACGAGACATGGGAACAACTGAAACATTTTGTGACAAAGGAAAGAAAATTGGGTACAGACAAATATAAGTAAACCGGGAAAATGGAATCCATTTTTTCTTAACACAGGAATGTTACGAATGTGTGTTCTTTCAGTAAGAACCCTTGAGGAAATTAAATAATGTGAGAAATAAGCTCACAAATATAGATCCTTATTCACAAAGGTAGACCTTCGCCCCCCCCCCCCCCCGCCCCCTTTTTTCCCCAATAAAAAAAAAAAAAAAACAGTGACACACTAGAAAACATAAAAATAGAAAGCTATAGTGACTACACGGGGATTCGAACCTGTGGCTTCCAACTGGTGACATAATATCACTTTAGAAAGAAATGGACTTTGACAGACGCTGTAGTCGTTTGCACGATAGTTTCATTATGACCCACTGCCTCCCTAACAAGCATGTCGTAAGAGTCGACTAATTAGGAGATTCCTCCAAAGTCAGAATACATCTGCCGGAGAGGCAAGGAACCAACAGTCTGCATGCAAATGAATCAGACATGTGAAACGGATGTGCACGCAACATTGGAACAGGACTAGAGTCTAGAAGTGGACGAACAACCTCCGCTGGAGTTTACAGCTGGTGAATGCGAAGAAGAAGAAGAAGAAGAAGAAGAAGAAGAAGAAGAAGAAGAAGAAGAAGAAGAAGAAGAAGAAGAAGAAGAAGAAGAAGAAGAAGAAGAAGAAGAAGAAGAAGAAGAAGAAGAAGAAGAAGAAGAAGAAGAAAAAGAAAAAGAAGAAGAAGAAGAAGAAGAAGACGAAGAAGAAGAAGAAGAAGAAGAAGAAGAAGAAGAAGAAGAAGAAGAAGAAGAAGAAGAAGAAGAAGAAGAAGAAGAAGAAGAAGAAAAAGAAGAAGAAAAAGAAGAAGAAGAAGAAAAAGAAGAAGAAGAAGAAGATTATGTCCACAGATTTAAAAAGCGACAATGGTGTAATAATGGGGCAGTTTGCAATCATCCTTATCATAGACATCATGAATTGCAACCTTTGCCGTTATGTTTAGAAAAAAGGGGGCTGGAAAAGGGGGTGGGGGGGGGGTCTGTGGTCTATTACTTGATGGATAGCACGTACGATTGTTGTTCCATGATGATGTAGATTGTCTGTACTGTCATTCTTTCTTATTTCCTTTGGCACCCTCTTGCAAAAATGCCCGACAATTTTAAACGTAACGCATGTGTTGATGGTTGTTCTAATTGCATCCTAGCGAACAGTTGGATCTTCTGCTTCTCATTTAAATCAGTGCAATGTGTTGGTCTCACTGTTGGACTTAAAGATTCTTTTTTTCACAGGGTCTCGGGTAGTTAATTTGTCGGTTTTCCCCAGGCATCTAATCTCCCAGGTGTTAATTTTTCCTACGTTAGTTCCTGAAAATCTCTAGGGCTCTTAGTAACCAGATGGCAATTCTAAAAATATAACCAGCAGAAAACGAAACAAATTAGTAACAATTAATTATTTGTTTTTGAATGATTATAATATATGGATTAATTTCGTTTGATATGTGTAATAAAACTGTTTATTTCGTTTGCAGTAACCCAGCATAATAATAATCGTTGATAGCAAAATGTAAAGGATTTGTTTTCTCTATTTTACCCTGTTGAGTTTACATGTAATTACTGACTGTTTACTTAATTGACACGTGACACCACACTATAAGCAAAGACAGACAAAATAAACAAAAACTGGCTTCTCAATTGTCTAGAAACAGGAACTACTTAAGAACAAACTCTTTAACTCTTTGTGTACATGCTGCGAAGCACGCTTTTATATCATTCTGGGTTGGGTCCACCTGGGAACCAAACTCTGTCATGGGGGAAAGGGTAAAATCCCCACGATGTGGACTCGAACCCAAAACCTTTGAACCGGTAGCAAGCGTCTTGCCACTGCGCTACCGGCCGGTGAAATGTCGATCACATAATCTATCAAGTACAGATTGGTATACAAGAGGAAAATACATTTATACCCCATCTGTCAGAGAAATACCTAGTCTCTTACTGGTCCAAAATTACTTATCGTTTATTTATATCCCAGAAAGTACACAGTGTCTCCTTTTACCTTAGATGTATAGTACCTCTCCTGTTGCCCCTGACATTACACACTGATATCTGCTGCCCCTGACATTACATACTGATATCTGCTGCCCCTGACATTACATACTGATATCTGCTGTCCCTGACATTACACACTGATATCTGCTGCCTCTGACATTACATACTGATATCTGCTGCCCCTGACATTACATACTGATATCTGCTGTCCCTGACATTACATACTGATATCTGCTGTCCCTGACATTACACACTGATATCTGCTGCCTCTGACATTACATACTGATATCTGCTGCCCCTGACATTACATACTGATATCTGCTGCCCCTGACATTACATACTGATATCTGCTACCCCTGACATTACATTCTGATATCTGCTGCCCCTGACATTACATACTGATATCTGCTGCCCCTGACATTACATACTGACAACTGCTGTCCCTGACATTACATGCTGATATCTGCTGCCACTGACATTACATGCTGATATCTGCTGCCCCTGACATTACATGCTGATATCTGCTGCCACTGACATTACATACTGATATCTGCTGCCCCTGACATTACATTCTGATATCTTCTGACCCTGACATTACATACTGATATCTGCTGCCCCTGACATTACATACTGTTATCTGCTGCCCCTGACATTACATACTGATATCTGCTGCCCCTGACATTACATACTGATATCTGCTGCCCCTGACATTACATACTGATATCTGCTGCCCCTGACATTACATTCTGATATCTGCTGCCCCTGACATTACACACTATCTGCTGCCCCTGACATTACATACTGATATCTGCTGCTCCTGACATTACATACTGATATCTGCTGCCCCTGACATTACATACTGATATCTGCTGCCCCTGACATTACATACTGATATCTGCTGCCCCTGACATTACATTCTGATATCTGCTGCCCCTGACATTACATACTGATATCTGCTGCCCCTGACATTACATACTGATATCTGCTGCCCCTGACATTACATTCTGATATCTGCTGCCCCTGACATTACATATCAAACAATGTTTCTTTGTGCCCCAGAAGTACATTCCGTCTCTTGCTGAGGATCTCAAATCGTATGCACTGACCAACCAAAGGGCAAAGTCCGAAGTCAATCCCCCAACCTTTATAGTGCGAAACCAACATCTTAACCACCTTGCCGCGAACATCTTACTTACTATACCTTTGCCGTCCCTTTTTGGGATGCTATTTTTCGTTATTTGAAGCCCTGCCCTTGTTCTTGCCAAGGGCCGCAATATAGCCCGGATATAAATATGATCTAATGGCTGAACGCAGTTGTTAGGACCTCTCCACGGGTGATATTTATTCGCATGGTGGCACTTTGTGTCATCGGGTGTTTATCGCCTGTGTGATGTCCTAGTGGGGTAAACGAAGACAGAGAGATAGACAAACATCCACAATGATAAGTGACGTTCAGTCTCACCAAGACCGCACAAAGACGCAAAGTGCCACCATTCTGATGAGAAGTCTCTCTGACATAAGTCCCAGAAATCCAGTTCAACAATTAGTTTATATTAGGGCCCTGGACGACAGGCGGGGTGGGGCTTTAAAATCACCAGAACATTGAAAACAGAAAATACAGAAAACCTGTATTAGAACGACGATACCTACAATATGTTCAGTAAAAGCACTTATCAAGCGAATTACGACCTCCAGTATTTGATTTTCAAATGTTCAAGAACTTTTACAAACATAACCAAATGTAGACAGACAGGGTCTCATAAGGTGGAGTCCGTAGTAACCTGATTGTCATAGAAACACTTCCGTAAGTTGGAACACAGTGTTCAGTTGGTCGACGGCAAATATGGCCCGGTTAGTCCAGACAAAAGACCGTGCAAATATACTGACACTGACATATTCTTTCCTTCTGTCACTGACAGTAGACGCTGTCTCCCTCTGATCCACACACTATTGCACTTTAAAGCAGAAATTGCCTCGGAAAGAAGTCACACAGGTTGAATACTAAGTTTACTTCTCAAATAATTGCTTAAGATTTCTTTGAAAAAAAAAAAAAAAATGAAGAATAGCTTTTCGGCAACTTTAAAAAGAAATATTTGATTTTCTTGGATAGAAACAATAAAATGCTACTTTTTCTTAGCCCACGCAATGGAAAACCGTACTGTTTACCTTTTATGTTTATAGAATTAATTCTGCCACTCTGATCTTTGAATCTTTGTCCAATACTTGAAAAAAAAAATTTAATACGTAAACCTAACTCCGTGTAAGCAGGAAACAATTATATACACATTGCTGCAAAACATTCGCGCTCGCGCGCTTATACATGTATTATCAAACATAGATAGAGCAAAGTATAGTTTCAAGGAAATTAGGGCTTCTGACACTATCATAGGTTTTTGGAGAATATAAGGGCCTTTGCCACCAGGTTTAGCCCTGGATATGACACTCCATAGTTCAGCAGGAATATATAAAGCTGAAGTGAAGAACAAAAGTATTTTATAATTTATTTTATTTAATTTCAGCCGCTTGAAAGTTTTGGTTATTCTTCTGCACTTTGGTCTTGTTCCAGAACATCAGTTTTGTGTG